AAAGCACCGGTAGATTACCACTGCAAGGGGGGATAGGTGTGTGTGGTGGTGGTGGTGGGGGGGGGGGGGGGGTTATGTAGAGCAGATAGAAGATTTCACCTAGGATCGCTGTCATCAGCACAAGGGACATTTAAATGTGAGTACTGTCTTTTGTGCTGTTTTTTTTTACCTAAATTTAGTCTTTCGGCTGATTGAATTCTCATATAGATGTGAAAAAATGTGTAAAATGATGATAGTTTTTTTTGGGCACAAAGCAGTTTGTGTACAGAATAAACAGTCCACTTTGCATGTGATTAAAGCTTTCAACCAGTGTAAGACATTTCTGTTTGCAAACAGTCATAACATATTAGTCATCAGGCCCAGTGACTGTAAGCAGATTTAAAAGTCATTGCTGAACATAAGAGCCACTTAAAAAAATTAATCTCCCCGCCGTGTAAACAAAGCGAGCACTGCTAAAATGTCAGTGGCGTACAGCACCCAATTCCAACAGCGCCCTCAGTTGTCATCACGGACATTGTGCAAGTTATTAGCCCAGACAGAAACTCCAAGGGCTCTGCCCTCCCTCCTTGTCTAAGGACTTCCTCGTTCATGAAGCCTTTTGATGTTGTGTGGTTTTTGGAGAGCATAAAAAAGCCTACGCTGATTGTGGTGGCACTGCAACGCCATCACTATCCATGTAAAACAACAAACCTGCTTGGCATAGGGCACCAGGGGAACGTCACCCAAAATGTTCCAAGCTGCAGAAGATGTGATGAGAAGAAACATACGGACTGAGTTTATTTGACTATTTTTGTTTTTTTTTTTGGATTTGGATTTGGTTCTTAAAATTATGAATGACAGTCCAAAACCGGAGAAACCATAGAGATGGAAAATCAGTGTTTATATATTCTGATGAAGGAGACAAAACATGGGCGTCATGTGGATGTGGTTATATCTGAGCCGTGCCATGGAAATAAAGGGACTTTTGTATAAGGGAGATGTTTTAAAGGGGTTTTCTAGCTTGCACTGTGACACATCCATCCCTCCTTAAACAAACTATTAAAAGTCCATGTGATTGTCTCCCCTTCCAACCACCCTGACCTATTTAGGTCAGTCCTGCTGGCTTGTAAGGAGTAGCAAACTCATAACTTCTTGGTATGGCAGTAATTTCTTAAGTCTGGGGCGTGCACCGCTGGTGGGACTCATCCGCACTGTACAGGGTCCAGGATTTCCATACAGAACTGTCTTAGACAAGACTTTGGTCACAGGGTCCAGGATTTCCATACAGAACTGTCTTAGACAAGACTACGGTCACAGGGTCCAGGATTTCTGTACAGAACTGTATTAGACAAGACTACGGTCACGAGGTCCAGGATTTCTGTACAGAACTGTCTTAGGCACGGCTAGGGTCACAGGGTCCAGGATTTCCGTACAGAACTGTCTTAGACAAGGCTAGGGTCACAGGGTCCAGGATTTCCGTACATAAATGTCTTAGACAAGACTAGGATCACAGGGTCCAGGATTTCCATACAGAACTGTCTTAGACAAGACTAGGGTCAAAGGGTCCAGGATTTCCGTACAGAACTGTCTTAGACAAGACTAGGGTCACAGGGTCCAGGATTTCTGTACAGAACTGTCTTAGACAAGACTAGGGTCACAGGGTCTAGGATTTCCGTAAAGAACTGTCTTAGACAAGACTAGGGTCACAGGCTCCAGGATTTCCGTACAGAACTGACTTAGGCAAGACTAGGGTCACAGGGTCCAGGATTTCCGTACAGAACTGACTTAGGCAAGACTAGGGTCACAGGGTCCAGGATTTCCGTACAGAACTGACTTAGGCAAGACTAGGGTCACAGGGTCCAGGATTTCCGTACAGAACTGACTTAGGCAAGACTAGGGTCACAGGGTCCAGGATTTCCATACAGAACTGTCTTAGGCAAGACTAGGGTCACAGGGTCCAGGATTTCCATACAGAACTGTCTTAGGCAAGACTAGGGTCACAGGGTCCAGGATTTCCGTACAGAACTGTCTTAGGCAAGACTAGGGTCACAGGGTCCAGGATTTCCGTACAGAACTGTCTTAGGCAAGACTAGGGTCACAGGGTCCAGGATTTCCATACAGAACTGTCTTAGGCAAGACTAGGGTCACAGGGTCCAGGATTTATGTACAGAATTCTTTTAGACAAGACTAGGGTCACAGGGTCCATTACAAATAGTGCAGCTAGTAACATGGTGAAACGGTCTGTGTGATCTTCTATGTATTTCTTAGGAAATCTTGCAGATTCACAAACCAGGAAACACCAAACACACCAGGAAAAGGATAATAATGCTCTGGAAAAAGACTTTGTGATTGTTTCAAGGAGCACAATACGACAATACTTGAACAAAAATGAGCTGTATGGTCGAGTTGCCAGAAAGAAGCCTTTACTGCACCAATGCCACAAAAACCAGGTTACAATATGCCCGACAACATCTTGACATGCCTCACAGGGCTTTTTGTGGCATTGGTGCAGTAGAGGATTCTTTCTTGCAACTCGACCATGCAGCTTATTTTTGTTCAAGTATCATATTGTGCTCCTTGAAACAGCCACAATATATATTTCCAGAGCATTATTATCCTTTTCCTGGTGTGTTAGCTTTGTGAATTCAGTGTATTGTCTTCTGCAAGATTTCCTATGAAATACATAGAAGATCACACAGACCGTTTCACTTCTTTGTCTTTAAACTCATAGGTATATATCTACAATGCGACATCATCTGAGGCACTGTTGCCTCTGACTATTAGTATTACCAGATTTGGAGTGATATTTGGGGATCTCACTGGTCTTGTTGGAGAGGAAGCTGTACCAGACGATCTGCAGTGAAAGGATCTTCCTGCTTCTGCCTAATTTATTCTGTTGACCTGAGATTTCTGCAACTTTCCTTCTCTTTGATTATTCCTCCACCAGTCATCAGACCACCAGTCATTAGGGGGCAGCTCTGGCATGAGGAAGCCAAGTCCTGCCTCTACCAAGATGGCTGCTTACACATGGAGGAGTGTAGAACAAAGCATGGTAAATCAGTATCAGGTAAACGATCAACTGCAGGGAGCCTACCCACATGTAGCATGTCTACCTAAAATTGTAGCCTTTCAAATATATTTGGGAAGAATATTTTTAAAATATATTTCAAATATATTTTTCTTCCATATGGGTAGCAACAGCTTTCACAGTTCAGATTCTCTTTAAAGGATAAGTTCACCTTTTGAAACAAAATAATAAATCCCAACATCAACTATTTAAGGATCCTGCAGACTTCCCAACAGTGCAAGAAAATGAACTGGCCCTGCATCATCAGGGGGGTGATTGTGGAAACCAGGAAGAGACTACTGGCTCCTGATGACATACAAAAGGAAGATGACGGCGTGGTAGTAAGAGAGCGGTGCCAGAGAGAAGGGCATTACTGGGTCCGCTGGACTTGGATGTATATTTAAGCGGCATAAGTACAACAGCAAAGGTGAGGGGCACATGCGTTGTCATTTTTTTTGCGGAAAGTAAAGTTCCACTGACTACTTAGAAGGTGAGTAGAAGACTTATATCACACAGAGCATCAAAAAAACCCCCAAAGCAAATGTACTGTTATACTAGCAGACAAGGTGAACATCATAGCGTGACCCAGGCTAGTTTACCCCCCCCCTCGCTTTGCTCTCCTGTTTTATCATCACATCTCCAGCAACGGAGTTATTTTTGGCATCTCGTACAATTAGTACATGTTTATATTGCTTATGTTGTTCCTTTTCCCAGAGCTATTAACCTATTGCAACACACTATGGGCATTTAACGTCTCCGTGTTTAACGGCGGCATTTCTGTAACTTCAAGGCGGAAAGGCGAGTCACAAGTCTAAAAAAAAATAGCAGTACAGGAACATAAATAATAACAAAATATCAAAACAAGATAAAGATCTAAATCAAAGCAATGCTCCATTCCTGGTCTTTATATATGCGCCGGATTTTTTTTTTAAAGCATTGCCACAGCTTGCAGTGTTACAAGAGATTGTGCAATGAAGGGATTGTCCTGACGTGGAAATATGAGCATCTGTGAGCGATACAAGTGCTCATTATTGCCCAAAGTGATTTCCCAATGCTTTAGATTTTCCATAGACAACAGGCAGCTCAGCGTCACCTGAGAGGTTATGCCAAAGCAGTACTCAGGGAGACAGCAAGCAAATATCCGATTTCCTCAGTTATGTTGTCCCTACACATCAGGGTTGCCAACCGTCCCTAAATTTATGGACAGTCTGTAAATTTTAACCCATTTAGGGGATGTCCGTAAATTTCCAATACAGACAGCATTGTCCATAAAATTTTAATCCATTCACAGTTTCAAAGCCACCCAGGCTCGAACAAGCTCGATCATTTTCAGCTGTTCTTCTGCGGGCGCATGCGCTATGATGTCATGGCGTAGCTTGGCTCCAGTTATGAATGGGCTTGCCTCCCGGAGACCAATGGATGGACCCCCCCATCCATGCACTCTCTTTCCAGGGCTGATCACCGCACCATTCCCTGACTACCTGTGGTGACTATCCTCTCCTGCTAGGCTCTGAGCAAAGGGCTCCAAATTCTCATCAATCATGATCTCTATAGTGTGCTGCTGGAGTCCTGACACAGAAAGGGAGACTGTCTCCTATTTGAGTCCGGAACTGGGACCACTCCAAGTGAGTGCTTACCGTCTTCTGTATCCTGCCTGCAGCCTCTAACCGTCTCCTGTAGCCTTTCCACAGCCTCTTACACTCTAACAGTCTCCTGTATCCTCTCCACAGCCTCTAACCGTCTCCTGTATCCTCTCCACATCCTCTAACCGTCTCATGTATCCTCTCCACAGCCTCTGTCTCTTGTATCCTCTCCACAGCCTCTAACTGTCTCTTGTATCCTCTCCACAGCCTCTACCCTTCCGCTGTATCTTCTCCGCAATCTCTAACCATCTCCTCTATCCTCTCTGCAGCCTCTAACCATCTCCTGTGTCCTCTCCACAGCCTCAAACTATCTCATGTATCCTCTCCACAGCCTTTAACCATCTCCTATAATCTCTCCACAGTCTCTGACCATCTCTTGTACCATGTCTGCAGTCTCCGACTATCTCCAGTATCACGTCTGCAGTCTCTAACCATCTCTAGTATCACGTCTGCAGTTTCTGATCATCTTCTATATCATGCCCACAGACTCCAACCATCTCTTGTATCATGTCTGCAGTCTCTGACCATCTCTTGTATAATGTCTGCAGTCTCTGGTCATCTCCTGTACCGTGTCTGCAGTCTCTGTCTCTGGTCATCTCCTGTACTGTGTCCGTAGTCTCTGGTCATCTCCTCTACCATGTCTGCAGTCTCTGGTCATCTCCTGTACCGTGTCTGCTGTCTCTGACCATCTCCTGTACCGTGTCTGCAGCCTCTGACCATCTCTTGTATCTTGTCTGCATTCTTTGATCATTTCCTGTATCATATCTGCAGTCTCTGACCATCTCTTGTCTTGTATCATGTCTGCACATTCTCTGAAGAGGAGCCTGGAGAGGGGTCAAGAGCAGGAGAGCTGCCAGGTTGGGGTCACAGGAAGAGTCAGACATGTGTACTCCAAAGACATGCTGGTAGGTGAATTGGCTCCTGTCTAAATTGGCCCTAGTATGTGTATGTATGAATGTGAGTTAGTGACCTTAGATTGTACACCCCTTGAGGATTAGGGACTGAGGTGAATGTACAATATATATGTAAAGTGCTGCGTAAATCGACAGCGCTATATAAGTACCTGAAATAAATAAAAAAAGAATATAGGATGAAACCAGAGCTGTCTAGCTGGAGCCCACTGAGGACCTTCTGACTGAGCCCCGCATGGTGCACCTGAGAGGAAGTCAGTGACAGCACCTTGATACCAGTCTGGGGGGTCACTAATGTAAGTGGGAAGTGAATACAGCAAGATATGGGGGGGGGGGGGTACTGATATAAAGGTTCCCCCTTATATCAGTAACTCCCTTTAGCTTAGTGTATTCACTCTGCAGAAGGTGGTCTGTGGTCATCAGAGCTCCCCCCACATCAGAGTTCCTGACGTTTACCCTTAAATCACTGTCCTCAGATTTCCCCTTTACATCAGAGTCTGCAGGATTCCTCATACAGTGCAGGGGCAACACCGCAGACCCTGGTTTAGCTGGGAACTCTGATGTAAAGGGGAAATCTATGGATTCTGATATAAGTGGGGGCTCTGGTTACCACCTTATATCAGAGTTCCCCTTTACAAAGAAAGTCTGCAGCATTCCACCTTGCATCATGATCCACAGCCTTACTCTTTAAATCAGAGTTCCCCTTGCACTGTAAGGGGGAATCCAGCAGACTTTGATGTAAGGGGGAACTCTGTGCTGCTTGGATTATATTAACCTGACCTTCACTGAATTGGAGAAATAAGTTTTTTTACTTTTCTTAAACACACTGCTAATAACACTAGCTACAGTATATGTTTATATAGCTTAAATATTGATATTTGCACTGTTTTGCACTTAAAACAGAGATTTTATGGACTTTTTTTGAAGTGTCAGTAAAAATAGTGGCTATGTCAGAAAATTTCAAGTTTTTTTCTCAGTGAAAAAATTGGTGCTGTTTGTAAATATTGGGCATCCTGTCAGTAAATTGCAGTTGGGGGGGATTGGCATACACACAGAGACCTAACCGGCCAATAAATATACCAATTATGGCCTAATGGAATTGCCTAAAATGTGTTATTGCTAAATACATCAACTAGCCACACCTAATTCTGTATCTTTGGGGACATCCAGGTGGCCATTGTGATAAACTGAATTGATCTTTCAATTGATATGTAGTCAGTGGTCAATGATTGGTCAATCGTAAAGTAGTATTAGAGGAGAAGCACAGCCAAAGCACTTGTGGCTGTACTTCTCCTGTGGAGTACAATAAAATAAACATTCCCCAGTAGACTATCTGTAAAAAGAATTATTACCCCAGCACTTGCAGGTTACATCTTTCAATGCTTATGGCTCCTACACTCTCAGTGCTGCTTCCCTAATTTTCTGGTATTCACAGAAAAGCATCAATGGTGGACAGTGCAATCTCCAGTCCATCTGATAACTTGGAGAAGGGAGGGAGTGGGGCAGTGTCTTGCCATCCTAGGCTATGGGGCTGCATGTTTCTATTGGTGCACACAGTATAGAGAGACCCATCTTTAGTCCCTGCATGCAAGGGTGGCTCCATAGCAGGGGCAGACTGACAACTCATGGGGCCCTGGGCAATAGGGGATCATGGGGCCCCTGTGTCCTTGCCCAAACTCAAAAAAGCCTATGAAAAAGGTACCAGGGGCATCTCATGGGGCCCCCTACTGACCCCGGGCCCTCGGGCAGTGCCCGAGTTTCCAAATGATCAGTCCACCCCTGCTCCATGGGATGCTGCAAGAGCAAGGAGTCACCCTGAAACAGGAAACCTGGGACAGAGGTAATGACCCCAGATTAAACTGGAACATAGACAAGGATTAAGGATTAAGTTCACACTGCATGTGTTTCAGTTACTTTTTTCTGCATCCAAAATGCACAGAAAGTGGGTTATATGGTGTCAATGTCATAGTTCACATCAATGCTTGCAGTTCCAGTGCGTTCCAGTTGCAGAAAAAAAGCAGAACATGCTGCATGTTTTCTGCACAGAACTGTACTGAAATGCGGTAAAATGCATCAAAAACGCACTGGAATGCACATGTCCCTATTTAAATAGAAGAAAAAGAGAGGGGAAAAAATGATCTGGAATGCATTAAAAACGCAGTGGAACGTACCAAAAGCGCGCATGCAAAAACGCATCCGGAAAGCATGTGGACTGTGTTTTTATAGTGTGAACCGGCCCTGAAAGATGATGAAGCTGAATACTCAGTAAGTGATTACATTATCTGTTTAAAAACCTGAGGAATGTAATATAATTTTAATGCCTGCGAAGTGACATACTTTTTAAAGCAGACCTACCTTTGCCCATACTTGGCAAAACAACAGGTTCCCTTTACAGAAGTGACCACAAGCAGCCCAGGCACAGCTTGCCTACAATCTCTTTCCAGAATGGGCGAGAGGTTCCCGATACTTCTTGAACATGTATTATGCCCCCTGCCTTCCCATAATAAAGCATTGAGATCCTGAATAGCCAATGACCAGGGCAGAGCCCTTTCATCTTGGAGCAGGGAGGAGCATGCACAGCTCTATATACATTTAAGAAAGTGAAAACTAACACAGGAACCTGGAGCAGTCTGGTAGTAGTTCAGGGTGGCTAGAGGGTTCACAAAAGGTAAGTATTGTCTGGCTAAGAAAAGACAAACGTTCATCCAGTTCAACCATAAAAAAAAAAAAAAGTTATAATCCTACACCCACAGTTGATCCAGAGGAAGGCAAAAAAAAACCCAGCAAAGAATGATTCAATTTGCTCCTGCTGGGAAAAAAATTCCTTCCTGATCCCCCGAGAGGCAATCAGATATTCCCTGGATCAACTTTACCTATAAATGATAGTATCCAGTTATATTCTTTGTATGTAAGAAACAATCCAGGCCTTTTTTGAAGCAATCCACTGAGCTGGCCAGAACCAACTCTTGGAGGAGTCTATTCCACATTTTCAGAGCTCTTACTGTGAAGAAACCTTTCCGTATTTAGAGATTAAATCTCTTTTCCTCCAGATGTAAAGAGTGGACCCTCCTTTATCCTAAAACTGTTACTTTTCCTTGTTATGCACAATTAGGTTCTTCATATTCTTGTATCTGAAAAAAGATACAGGGCTTTCACTTTCCCTTAGCCCTGGTTCACTCTGAATCCAACTTTGAAATCATGCGACTTCACGTGAAGTCACATGATTTCAAAGCTGCAGGTCAGTGCGATTTTTGGTGTGACTTGCCTGACATCTGTGCGACTTCATGCACAGGTGTCTATGCAAGCTGCACCTGAAATTGCAAAAAATAGCGCAGGAACCTTTTTTTTTTTAAAAAAAGCAGCACAAAGTCAGAGTTGCACCAATTTGAACGCTTCCATCGCTGACAATAGGGTGCGACTTTGGCATGCAATTTGGAACTGTAAAATTGCATGACAAGTCACACCGGGGTGAACTAGGCCTTACCCCTAATCTACTGCTCAGGTTCTCTTTTTACTCCAAGAGGACCAGAACTTTTCTAAAAATTCAAAATATATTTCAGCACAGATGTTTGATTGTTTGGTGACCCCCCCCCCCCCCATTTTCCAGGCACCCAGGGGCCAACCATGCCTAGATCTGTCTTTCTCCTTTGCTTTTACCAGATTATCTTGGATGATCATAGAAACTCTTTTACTAGGACACAAATATTTGCTAGGAACTTATATTTAAAGGCAAATTCCAGCTTCCTCATGTTTGTCGTCAACCCTCCTAATCCCATAAAGGTTTCCGGCAAATATTTTTTGAACATTTTTTCTTTCCTTTTTCAGATGTCTTCTGACCAGTCACATTAAACTCCGGGTCCTCGTTATCCCATCCTACTGTCCAGTAATGGGCAGTCCTTAAGGATCTATGGCAGCTTTTTTCATCCAGGGTGCCCAGGCACCCTGGCGTGCCTTTGAATGTTTTCACGGGTGCCTCAGCAAAATGCCTAAAAAGTGCCCAAAAATTGTAAACAAGCCAGCAGTTGGATCAGGCTTGCCTTTAAGTGACACAAAGCCACAGCTTTCCTTGAGCACCATTACAACCTTCTATCGGCTTGCATTCTAATAACCAACAACATTATCGGTTGACAAGAAGGATGGGCGCCTGCACAGAATCCTTGTTTGTCCCCTGCCCTTCACTTCTCTGTCCACACTGGGGTCACATTAGAAGAGTGAGGGAGAGAAACCTCAGGGAAAATAGAAACATTGGAATACTAGTCAGTACCAGCGTGCAAACGTATGTAGTAGACTAAATCACCTCTAATATTGGGTGTCCTACATGTGTGGAAGTTGCTACATTATGGAAAACTATTAGTTTAGGTTTTTACATTTTAGAATGGGGTGCCTCTAGATTGTGCATCACTTTAAAGGGTGCCTTGACTGAAAAAACGTTGAGAAACACTGGTCTAGGGAGCGTCACTGACATTATGATGTCAATTCCATCCTCTGTATTACTGTACTGCAAGCCAGGGTAGCTTGAAGACATCCTCCATGGGGGACAAGCCCTTGGAGGTAGATTGAATGAAGCTTGTATCATTCAACCTGGAAAAGAAGTGGCATGGAGTCCCCTTTTTTTCAAGGAGGAGAGGGAAGGGATTTTTAACAAAATGTTTCTTTGGTGTTGGACTTTTAATTTACTATCACTCTCAACAGTCTAGGTTTGGGGGCATAGAGTGTAGTACATGTGACAGGGTCCATTGGGTCTCAGCAAATTTTACACCATGTGGTGACATTTGTTTTGTGACCTTTTGCAAAATGTTTGTGAGTATAATTTTATCTGTTTTTTAATAAATTGATCCTTGGATAATGGATTGGGCTGATGCGCTCTCTGTTTGTCTGTTCACAGTTGCCTTTTGGACTACCCCAGTCGTCTGTGAGAGCACCAAGGCCTGTCATATCCATTGGATCTACTTTCATTATCCATACATCCCATGTGATACAATCAGGAGAGTGGCCTCTAGTCCTTCTCACTCATGCGCAGGAGATTTTGATTATTCTATTTTGGCATGTAACAATATCTCTCCAGACACTTCCACCAAGTAGTGGCAGACTACTGGATTTCTCCAGAAAACTATAAAAGCTCTCTGTTACTGCAGAGTCAAAAAAAGTTAAAGCACAACTCTGAACAATGTACTTAGTCAATATCTCAATAGAGCTTTTCTCTTAGAACTCAGTTACATCATTGGTTACAAAGTAATTTATCTGCTGTGAGGCTGCCATCTTGGATATGCTCAGTAGAATATTGTACTAGGGCCAGTTATTTAGACAGGAGCCTGTTAACCTACCAGCATGACTGTGGATTGTGGGAGGAAGTCAGAGTACCTGGAGGAAACCCGTGTGATACGGAGAGAACATAAACTCCAGGCAGAGAATGTCCTGACCAGGATTTGACCTGAGAACCCCAGTATTGCAAGGTGATTTCTCAGCAAAATAAAGCATAGAGATATGGAGGGATGGGTGAGTTTGCTCTGAATCTTAACAATGAATTAAATAGCATTTTTGGTTTGAGGTGCTCAGATGCAGTACAATTCCACTTTAACCACTTCAAGTCTGGACACTTTTACCCTCTTCCTGTCCAGGCCAATTTTCACCTTTCAGTGCTATCACACTTTGAATGACAATTGTGCAGTCATGCAACACTGTACCCATATGAAATTTTTAAGCATTTTTTTGAGACAGATAAAAGTTTATTTTGGTGGTATTTATTCACCACTGGGATTTTTATTTTTTTTGCTATATAAATGAAAAAGTCCAAACATTTTGAAACAAAAGTGTTTTTCTTATAAAATTTTGCAAATAAATAATTTTTCTTCATAAATATTGGCCAAAATGTATTCAGCTATCTTTTTAGTAAAAAAAAAACAACCAAATTAGTTTATAACCAAATATTATCATTTTTCAAAATTTGTTTTTAAATTTTTATTTTATTTTTTATATTATTATTTAGTTATTTATTTTTTTTACATACTGTCACCCTAGCAGTACGGTGTCACCATAATGACACTATACTAATTGTGGGGGTGATGAAGATTTTTTTTTTTTTACACTGATTGCTTTTACACCCATAAAGTCTGTAAAAGCAATCATTTCTCTTTCTTTCTGGCTGCATTCTTGCAGCCATTGAGAAATACTGTGAGAGCTGTGATTGGTCACAGCTTGCCAAATGGTACAAGGCTGTTGTGAATAGCCGTGTACCATGTGACCTCTGTGATCATTCACAGATTTCACACGTAGTAAGCAATGATGCCAGTAAGTGACATCTCGTTTACTACTATTCATGTGATCACTGATTGGCCAGTCAGTGATCACATGACTTGGGACCTCTCACAAAGGACCCGTACATCGGTCAGTGTTCCGCTGTGTCCTCCGGATCGCGGTGCCCTGCTCCCAGGGAGCGCGCACAGGCAGTGAAGGCAGGTGACGTCTAGAAACTTCAACCTGCTTCGGCAGCACTCTCTACTGGCCGTTTATAGACATGGGCCGGACGGGAAGTGGTTAAAGAGATAAATCAATTAGGTGGCATGCACCTCATTGGACCTAACCTACAGTGATCTAGTACGGAAGGTCAATAGCTATACTCCCAGGGCTCAGCAAAAATTTAATTTGTAAATGAAAGAGATAAGTCAATGAGGTGGCATGCATCTCATTGGACCTAACCCACAGCAATCCAGCACATTTTAGAATGCGGATACATTTTTGGAGTTCAACTCAAAGTTAGGGGGACTGCATAAAATCCAGGAAACTAATATTTTCTGAAGGAGGAAATCAATGGAAGATTTTTACTTTTATAAAGATTTACTTTAAAGTATACATCCAACAAAAAATAATAAAATAAAAATGAATAGCCCATCAAATGATAAAATAACAAAAAAAAATAATTTTGCTTCCCCTGCAGTACTTATTTCTGCAGCTAGATGTCTTCAGTCCAATGACCAGTAACATTCAACCCACTTGCTTCGAGCCTAGGTCATCCTGGACTCCAGCCTGTGACTGGACAATGAAAGGAGAAGCAGCACAATGATGGGCTCATTTCTCTGTCGCTCTGTAAAATAATTCTGCTGCTTCTTCCCCTCAAACTTCGGCTGTGCTGCACAGGCACTGGAAAGGGCTGATACCAGGTCAAATTCAGGTACTTACACTACTTGCATTTAACAAACTATACAGTAATGATTACAGAGCTGCATTAATCTGTGTATTTTATATCTTCACAGAGCTCAACCTTAAAGTGGTTGTAAACCTTTACATAAACCCAGTGAAGTAACTGTCCTCAAAGAGATGAAACAAATCCTCCTACATAAGTCATACCTACATCTTTCCCCTACATCCTTTCAAAGTGCAGAACTTACACAGGATCTCTCAGCTCTAAAAAGTAGTGAAGAGAGCTCTGAGAGCTGATTGGAAGGAAGGGACCCACCCCCTACACACAGTACACAGAAACAGAGCTGAGGCTGTCAATCACAGGCTGTGCCATCCCTTGTCACCATTTTTCTCTTGGTGTCAGTAAAACTTTTCAAAATTGACTCGTGCTTATAGCAAAGGAATGAGGCATCAGGCAGAAATGATACTTAGCACTCTGGATTGAGACAAGTACACACTATAGAGAGATATGCTTTGTTCATATTTCATGGCTGAGGTTTACCGTAGTTTTCCCCGACATCGGAAATCATGGGGCATCATGTCTGCTTTGTTTCAGCTGAGGCCTTGATAAAGCTTCACATACATAACAGATTTAGTTCAACCTTCAACAGATGTTTAGTCTAATATCCATTTAATATAGAAGAAGTAGGATCTCTTCCGATGGTTTTTCTTTCAGAAGTTGTACATCAGTTTAATATTTCACTAAATCAACAATTGTTTTTGCATTGGAGCCTTACCCCATCAATGGCTGCCTTCACACAGAACGTCGGATGGCCGCATGCCCTATCTTTGGGCATCTGCAGTGCAGACCCTGATCACACAGCTCAGTATATGGTAACCTAAGAGTATGAAAACATTGTGATAATTTCACCGCAGAGAGTGGAAAGCTTTGCTCGTGCACGCTCTGTTTCCAGTCACATCCATAGAGACCATTAAGTTAATGATAGCCATGGATTCCATAGCCCTTGAGTTTTAGACAGTCATGTCGACCCAGAGTCAAAATACAGACTGTGGTGAGCCTGACAAAGATGTGGGACGGGTCCAGCAATGCCCGGATTATTGAATAATAAGGTGATGATGTGCGCTGGCACACCATGAAATAGAACAGTAGAATCCTAAGAGGGATTCCCGCAATAATCGAGGCTGTTAAGATCTATTGTGGGGTCTTAGGTCATATGGAAATTAGTAATGTTGTGAGTAACCTATACAAGTGAAGAAGGAAAAAAAGACCAACAGTCTAACCAGAGACCACTGACTGACAACAAAGAACCATAGTCAATGCTTTTCTGCCCAGGAACAGGGAGACTCCCCAGACAAATATTAGGGGTAGTCACAGGCACCTTATGATACCCATTTTTTAGGAATCAGTAGTTTTAGGTGTCTTATCTTCGGCACAGAGAATCCCACCCAGCACAGGATTGGTGGGTTAGGTTAAAGCTGAACTCCAGGAATGATCTTCATTGCAAACTGACATAGATCCAGCTTGGTACAGTGTAAGTATACATGTCTCATGCCTGATGGGCCACTGGGGAAGCTGACAATCATCGTAGCAGTTGGTGCTACTACAGTGATAGCCCCAATCTTCCAGCTGGGGTTCTGTGCAAGTGGCTTCCCCTCTGTACACTGACCACAGAGGGTTGCTTGCTTGCCTCGGTATTGCCACCATTTATAGACAAACTTGTATTTTTTCAATGAATACAAGGTGGAGATCATGACATCACCGCCCTTCCTCTCAACCTAGTCCTAGACTCTGACCTCTCCTTTGGGCCCCACATCCACTCACTGGCTAAATCCTGCCGCCTCAACCTCCGGAACATTTCCAAAATCCGCCCCTTCCTGACCAATGACACCACAAAACAACTTATCCATGCCTTGGTTATATCCCCCTCGATTACTGCAACTCCCTCCTCACTGGTCTACAGTTACACAGGCTATCCCCCCTTCAGTCTATTATGAATGCTGCTGCTAGACTCATACACCTTACCAACCGATCAGCGACTGCTGCCCCTCTCTGCCAATCCCTCCACTGGCTTCCACTAACCCAACGTATAAAATTCAAAATACTAACCACAGCTTACAAAGCCATCTACAACACTGCCCCTAGCTACATCACCAACCTCATCCACAGATATCGCCCAAATCGCCCACTCCGCTCCTCCCATGATATCCTCCTCTCTAGCTCCCTCATCACTTCCTCCCACGCTTGCCTCCAGGACTTCTACAGAGCCTCTCCCATCCTCTGGAACTCCCTACTCCAGTATGTCCGGTCTGCCCCCACCCTGTCTGCCTTTAGGCGATCTATGAAAATTCACTTCTTCAGGGAAGCCTACCCCACCTCCACCTAAGAACTGTACTTGAATCACCTCCGCCAGATCATCCCCCGCCGCTATCACCTTTTGTATCACCTCCTCCTTCCTTTAGATTGTAAGCTCCATGAGCAGGGCCCTCCTATTCCTTCTGTACTGAAATGTATTGTAATTGTACTGTCTCCCTTATGTTGTAAAACGCTGTGCAAACTGTTGGAGCTATATAAATCCTGTATAATAATAATCAGAAAACTCCTTGTATTCATTTAAAAAAGACAAAGGCTCTATGAACAGTGGAAGTGCCAATTGACTGCGGACACAGTACAGATGACCAGAGACTGCGGACAGTACAGGGGATGACCAAGAGACTGCGGACATTACAGGGGATGACCAGAGACTGCAGACAGTCTAGGGATGACCAGAGACTGCAGACAGTACAGGGGATGACCAGAGACTGCGAACAGTACAGAAGATGACCAGAGACTGCGGACAGTACAGGGGATGATCAGAGACTGCAGACAGTACAGGAGATGACCAGAGACTGCAGACAGTACAGGAGATGACCAGAGACTGCAGACAGTAGTACAGGAGATGACCAGAGACTGCAGACAGTACAGGAGATGACCAGAGACTGCGGACAGTACAGGGGATGACCAGAGACTTCAGACAGTACAGGAGATGACCAGAGACTGCAGACAGTACAGGAGATGACCAGAGACTGCAGACAGTACAGGAGATGACCAGAGACTGTGGACACAGTACAGGAGATGACCAGAGACTGCAGACAGTACAGGAGATGACCAGAGACTGCAGACGGTACAGGAGATGACCAGAGACTGCAGACAGTACAGGAGATGACCAGAGACTGCGGACACAGTACAGGGATGACCAAGAGACTGCGGACCTTTGGGGAGGGAGAGCGGGTACCTGAATTTGACAGGTACCCATTCCCACTTCCGCTGAGTTTTCCTCTCTTTAGTGCGGGCACCCAGCGCTGCACTTTGTGAATGGCCCTGCATCTTCTGGGATCTGTCATGTGTCCCAGAAGACGCTGGACCATTCACAAAGCACAGCACTTCTCTCACACATGCACAGTGGGCACCCGGCTGTCACAGCCGGGTGCCCTCACTAAAGTTGCCGGCGCGGGTAGACTGTACAGCGCTGGACCGAGGAACAGGTAAGGTCCTACTAGAGAGGAGAGCTGAGCAGCTGGCCCGGTATTCTGACACGGTGGCGGCGGCAGAAATACCAGACCGGCCACTCCATATTCGCTCCATAAGAGCACTGACATTTCCCCCCTTTTTTTGGGGGAAAAAAATTGCGTCTTATGGAGCGAAAAATACGGTATGTTGAAAAACAACAGACTTATTGGCTGGATCACCCGGTGAAAATAGAAGAAAGCCTAAAAAAGAAAATTAGTGCAGTCATTACAACTACGAATTGGAAAGCTGCAATATAATAAATCTTTGCTTTTGGCTATAACCACTTGCAGACCACCTGCCCACAATGTACTGCGGACAGGCAACTCACACAGGCAAAGCCTGTCAGCAAGTTCCGGCCAATGATTCACGGCTGGAACCTGCTGATTGGCTCTGTACAATCATAGCCCAGAGCTCTGTGTTGACAATCAACACAGAGCCCTGTACAGAGGGAATGCTCTCTCTGTTTCTCATCCCTGCAAAGCAGATATGAGAAACTAAGATATCCATTAGTAGAAGCAGCACATATTACACATAGTTAGGCACACATTTAAAGTGTTACTAAACCCAGGACCCTGCATTCCCTATATCTGGTCTCCCCGGACCCTGCATTCCCTATATCTGGTCTCCCCGGACCCTGCATTCACTATATCTGGTCTCCCAGGACCCTGCATTCACTATATCTTGTCTCCCTGGACCCTGCATTCCCTATATCTGGTCTACCCGGACCCTGCATTCACTATATCTTGTCTCCCTGGACCCTGCATTCACTATATCTGGTCTCCCGGACCCTGCATTCACTATATCTCATCTCCCAGGACCCTGCATTCACTATATCTGGTCTCCTCGGACCCTGCATTCACTATATCTGGTCTCCCAGGACCCTGCATTCACTATATCTGGTCTCCCCGAACCCTGCATTCACTATATCTGGTCTCCCACAGTACACAGAACATGGAAGTGCAATTATTTTAGTAATATAAACTGCTAAATACCTTTTCTCATCAGCAGTTAGAGCAGTCTCGTGACTTCTATCAGTGGCTGAACACAGCTCGTAGGAATTTTTATTCTGCTCTGACTGTCCCATGAAAACCCTCTGTCTGGACTGTGCTGATTGGCCCTGTGCTAATCACATGCACCCCCCCCTCCCAAAAAAACACACCTCTCTAGCCATACACACTAAACTGAGCATGTGCGGAATGACTCCTAGAGCTCTGTACTATCAACAGATGGATTGGGGACAGTAGAAAAAGGGGAGGATCAGAGAAGACAGGATCAAACAGCTTAGTTACACAATGTGGAGGATTAACCCCTTAGGTTCCACAGTGGGTATAACAAGCCTGCTTTACTGCATATACAGACTGATTTTACTGTTGTGGGTTTCGTAACACTTTAACCCCTTGATAGCCCTAGATGTTAGCCCCTTTCCAGCCAGTGTCATTAGTACAGTGCCAGTGTAATATTATCACTGATCACTTTTGTAATGTCAATGGTGATGTCAGTGGCAGTTAGTTCCCCCAGCATCAGTTAGTGTCATATTGCCCGTTGCACTATTGCAATCCCATTATAAGTCGCTGATCACCACCATTAGTAATATATATATATATATATGTATATTAAAAATTCCAGTATATATACCATAGCTAGTAGGCACTATACAGTAACTGTCACACAAACCAATCAATATACACTAACTGGGATTTTTTTTTTATTAAAGACATGGCAGAAAACATTCTGGACAAAATTTATTTTATTTATTTATTTATTTTTAATTTATTGGATAGGTTTTGTAGCAGAAAGTAAAACATATTGTTTTTTTTTTTTTTTTAATTTTCAATCTAGTTTTGTGAAATGAATGATAAAAAATTTGTTTGGGCACAGCATTGCATGACCAAACAATTGCCAGTTAAAGTAGTGCAGTGATAAATAGCAAAAAAATGTCCTGGTCATTAAAGGGGTAAAATCAAGTGGTTAATACTGCGTTAATTTTGCATTCCCTGTCGACTTTTGCAAAAATGTCAACATTTTGGCAAAATCTCTTGATTTCACAGAAATTTGGCTGAAATCAAAAATGAATTTCACTCAATCCTCATCACAAATAGCAAATCATAGAGATTTTGATTTTGGGTATTAGGGAATCTTGTTCATGAACTTGGGAATGTAAAATGAATCAGCAGATTCAGGCAGTGGCTGCGTTCTTGTCTGGATATCACTTCTATTAGTGATTCCTGTGCTTTATCTGGAGGTCCCCTTTACCAATGTTACAAGTATCCAGAATTTGACCCGACACGTCTGACTAATTAAATAAGGAGCAGCCTATGAAAAAGTAGTGGGGGGCCAGGGTTTCCATAGGCTTGTATTGTACCTCATAAAGCGCCCACAAACACATGAACGGCACCCCTGAGACTTACAAGCACGCCGATTCTTGAGGTATAGACATTTCCTCACCTCATAAACTTTATTGTCGTGTTGCTGTTTGATTTTCTATTCGTTGCTGTGAGGAAGGAGACGGACTAACATCTCTCTGTCAATGCTGGAACCCCTGCAAGGTATATGGGAATGGACATTGACATGAACCCATTCTATAGGTGTCAGGTACACAGAGAATAGCTTTGCTTTTTTTGGCACAAAGATTCACTCATACATATTTGGAAACCAACAAATGTTTTTTTTATGTATTTAGGGTTTGCATTTTGGGGGTGTGAGGGCATATTTAGGATAGTTTCATTCATTTCATTTCGTGTTCTTCATATTGCTCATGTTTATTTGACCGTTGTTTGTGTACTGTCACTTTTTTTGTGTAAATTTCTTTTTATTGCTTTCTCAAAAATAAAGTAACAGTAAGAAAAATTAACCAACAACCCAAAACAGCTTTGCAGGGCTCGGGTGGTAATAAACATAGAAACAGTTACATTGGCCCTGAGTCTGTAGAACACCCCCCCCCACAACCCACCCTCACTATCCAGCCATCACCCCCATGTGGCTCACCAGTTACAAATAAAATAGGAGCCCCCAAGCTGGGTAACATGACCTCAATTCCTGAATAGCAAAAGCTTAGAACATTGTTTACTACATTGTACCTGACCCAGGTTTCATACCTGGCCTGCCGTCTGCTACGGAATATCAGGGGGCCGAACAACCAATCTAGGTAAGTGCTATGATGATAGCCCAAAGAGGAGGTAGATGTTTAAGGTGTTCTTGGGAGAACCATATCAGTTGGGTTGGATCCACCCTTCAGGCACTAGTGGAAGAGCTGTCTAACCAGGGCTGCCAAACCTTTTGAAAATTGTTGGAACACCCCCTGCTCAAATAGATAGCCTTGTAAAATGGCATGGCTTTATTAATCAATCCTTTCCAGAAGGCCAGTGATGATGCCATTTTTCCAGTGCAATATCAATGCCTTACGAGCATAGAACATCAGTAGACTAATCAAGGTGCACTGGGCCCTAGTGGGTGCTAAGCCCACTACCAATCCCAATAAACATACTGAAACCGTCAAAGGAAAAGGTAGAGCTATGACACTGGTGAGAAATTGCAAAATTTCCTTCCAAAAGTCCTCTTCCACAGAACAATTCCATAACACATGTCCAATAGTGACCAGAGAGTGCAAACAGCAGCAGCAATCCGCGGACACCTGTGGATAGATTTGGGCCAATTTTGCAGGTGTAAAGTAAATTCTATATAAGAACTTAAAGTGGATCAACTGATCCTTACACGACATCAGGTGGGCAAAGGGGGGAAACTCTGGAACATCCTCAAACCACTTTGCACTGCAGTTGACCACTGAAGGAGGAGCAATCTGGAACAACTATAGGTATAGTTCAAATAGTGGTTTCCTTAGAAATTCATCCAACAAAATATTCTCGATGTTGGATGGTTGTATGTCTGTTTGAGGTTTGAGGGGAACAAAATTGGGCCACACAGGCATGTCTAAGTTGCAGATACCAAAAGAAATAAAGGTTACGGAGGGCAAATTTGGATTTTAAATTATCAAAGGGCAACAATTTACCTCCTTGAGTAATGTCTCAGTGTCAGGAATGGACTCGCCAATGGTGGTGGGACTCACCTGCCTTGTGGGCTGCAGTACCAAGGCTGGCCAGCGGGTGCTCTCAACAGCCAGAATCGCACTCCTGCAATCAGGCCATCACCTGAGGCTGATTGCAGGAGGTGTATTTAAGCAGGACCAGGCCTGTAATCAGTGCCTTGGTGTTGTTTCCCATGAGCCCCTGTACCTTGTATTCTGTGTTCCTGTTCCTCTGCCTATCTGATTTGTTGCCGACCCTGCCTGATCCTGACCTCTGCTGACTTCTCCTGCTCTGACTCCTGGCTCGTGCCTGACTATTCTTCTGCCTACTCCTATGCTGTTTGAACTCCTGTTGCTGTACCTTGGCTCGTGACCCGTCTACTCTTTGCCTGCTGCTTTGTACTGATCTGCCTTCACCGTTACCAACCCGGCTTGTCTGACTACGCTACACTCCATACTGTCATCCATCCATCCCGCACGGATCCAGTCACTACTGTCCGAACCTGCCAGCCTCCTTCACATCAGGTTTTCCCCTGGTACATACCCTCAGCGGACCCCTCTACC